ATCATGGGTATAAATCTAAAATATAAGAATGAAATTAAAAGAGAAGAGATATCAAATCATGAAGAAAAATCATAATAACAATAGAGAAAATACGAATACCAAAACTTCACAATGCCCGCAGATGCCCTAGGGTGAGTTTGGGATCATAGTGAAGGCTACCAAACTGACTTCTCCACCAATAAAAGCTGGAAAAAAAAAAACAACTTTTTGTTTAAAACATATGTTTGGATTTGCTGTGGAGGTAAATGGGCTCAGGAAATGTTTAGATAATAACAAAACCATGATTTTAAAAAGTTTTTTTACGATATATAAAGTAAATATGTGAAGAAAATTATCTCGATTTGTGAAAAAATATTTTTGAAGTTTTCCAAAACTCCCTTATACTGGAACGATCTCTTTTCCAAAAGCTCCTATTCTCAACTCCTTCGCTACACAGGTCAAAAAAAGCTCCACTGCGCACGTTTTGATAGGTGAGGCGATGGAGGAGAGGAATGCATGATGCGAGTTTCTTTTTTGTTTTTTTAATCCAGCCAATTTTTTTTAACATTAAAGAAATTATTTTTTGAATAATAAAATCATTTTAAAAAAATAAATTTATTATCCTTTAAAAAATAAGTATTTTTATTTTATAATTTTAATTTTTCTCTGACAATTATCACATTATATATGTATATAAATATTACCATTCAATAAACTTCATATCCTTTTTAGTTATTTTACATCTAAATTTATTTTTTTATTATCATTTAAACAAGTTTCAACTTCTTAACTGTGACTTTTTTATAAAAGTCAATCCAAACATAAATCACATTATATACCTAACATTTATCTAATCTGACATTTGCAAGAGTCTATTGAAAAAAGTAACTTCTCCCCCCCACATAATCCAAACACACCTTAGTGTCTTATATTGCCTTATCACAAGAGTAACCTTCCTAGTAATATTGTGCTTCGAAAACTTCACAATCTCCACACTTTCATTGATTCCCATCCGCTTCTGCTTGGTTGTCATGGTCGCCTGGAGAGGAGAAAAAGGGAGCAATCGGCAAGGATAAGGGAATAAATCATTTTCAATGATTTTTTTAAAAATGGAAAGGCATGAGGGAGAAATGCATAATATTTTTTAAAAATAGTTTTATTTTGAGATTGTATTGGTTGGTTAGTAAACTGAACAGAAAATTATGAAATCCTGCACCCAAATATATCGGGGTAAATTAGAAAAGTTATATCATTTTTATATATTTTTAATTTAAAATTAAAATATTTGGTCAGGATCTTTATTTTAAGAATAAAAAATTCAACTAAAATAATTTAAACAGAAATAATACAATGTGGGAATAAGTAAAAAGAGTAAATTAAAGATTAAAAAAATCTATAAGAATTGAAATTTAAATATTAATGGAAGCTGTTCGAAAATTTTTATAACTGGCGGTGAGTCAAAAAAGTTATATCATTTTCATATATTTTGAATTTAAACTTTAAAATATCTATTATTTGGGAGTTAAAACACATACAAAGAATATAATGGAAGTAATGTGCAGAAAATTCCAGCTTTTACAAAGTGAGAAAATAACACAAATCACATACTACCTACCTACTCCGGTCCGGTAATCATGCGTAGTCACAAAATATAGGGGAGGTGCGCTTATAATTACGGATTTTAAAAAATGAAAAAATAAAACTCATTTACCCGTATGATTGAATGACTGAAATCAAGTGGCAGTTTCTTGTGAGTCTTATTTTTCACTCTACTTTCAATAGATAGGTTAATATAATTTTTAGTCTCTTAAATTTGTCATGATTTTGGTTTTAATCCCTCGGATTTCAAATTACTCCTCTGGTTTTAAATATAAGACCTATTTTGTAGTGTAATTTACACCAAAATAACTCTTATATTTAGGACTGAAGGAGTATAAATTTGGTCTTTCAAATGGTAAAATGATCTAACTTTTTGTTAGATTAGAGGGCTAATATTCTAAATAAAAAGAAATTTGAGGAACTAAAAGCTATTATTTAAAACTTGAAGGACTACGATCAAAATAAGGGTCAACTTAAAGGACTAAACCTAATATTAATCCTTAATAGATACTCATCTGGTCCTATATAGGGTAGAGAGAGAATGCATTTTTTAGTTTTATTTATAGGATACTGAGAAAATTTTCTGCATGAATATACAATTTTACCCCTCATTTATTATTGCATTAACTTTGTTTATGTGAAGTATAATGTATATTAAATGAGATGACGTTAAAAAGTTATTAATTTTAAATGTAAGTTAATGAAATTTAAGTTTTTTTTTTGCCTGCATAAAATATACTAAAAATGTTTTATAATAGATCAGAGGACTAATAGATAAATAATAGACTCTCGGAGGTTTGGTTGGGGAAAAGCAAAAACAGCTAAGCATTAGCGAAAAATGCATTTAATATAAGGAATGCCGCGCGCAAGGGTTTACACTTCGCTCTCTAGCCTTCGAAACGAACGGAATCCATGTCGCGTTCTCTCCGCAAAGCTCGGCGTCAGCGCAATCTCTCCTTTAACATTTCAAACATCTGATTTGTGTTCAAACCCAGTGGTTTTCATCGGGGTATGCTTATTCAACCTCTGCCAATGGGCATTCTTTCACCGTCTCATATCTCATTGACACCTGTGGCTTATCACCCAAACAAGCTGCTTCAGCTTCTAAGTGTGTCAGCTTCGAAACGCGGGATAAACCTGATTTGGTTATCAATTTCCTTAAAAGTCATGGATTCTCTCAGCCCCAGATTATTCGCTTCATTACTGACACCCCATCGTCTCTCCGATATGATCCTGAGAAAACCTTTCTGCCCAAAATTGAATTTTTTAAATCCAGAGGCTTTTCGAGCTTGGATATCCCTAAGCTCATATGTAGTTATCCTAGAATCATGTCAAGAAGCTTAAGGAAGCAGCTCATTCCTTCCTTTAACTTCTTTCGAGATGTGTTTCAATCTGACGACAAGCTCATTAAAACTCTTCGAATTTACTCGGGCATTCTTGTTGATGCCAACACAATTGCCCGGCCTAATATGGAGCTATTGCGAGAAGCAGGAGTTCCTGAATCAAATGTCATCAAATTTTTGCAATATAATCCTAGGACATTAACTGCAAGTCCTAATGTGCTTAAGGACATTGTGGAAGAAGTGAATAATATTGGGATCAATCCTTTGAAGTATCAATTTCTTATGGCTGTTCATGTGTTCTTCTGTCTAAGCAAATCCTCATTGGCAAAGAGAGCTGATGTTTATAAAAAGTGGGGTTGGTCTGACCATGACATTCTTGTGGCATTTAGAAAGTTTCCTCTCTGTATGGTAGCAGCAGAGGATAAGATCGATGCAATAATGGAGTTTCTTGTCCATAATTGGGCTTTGAGTCTTCTACTGTTAGCAAATATCCTACAGTTTTTACAATGAGTTTCAGAAGGCGAATAGTTCCGAGAGGTGCTGTCATTCAAGCTCTGTTGTCAAGGGGTCTAATGAAAAAGAAAACATTGTTAACAAAATTTGTATATAGTGAAAGTTATTTTTTGAGGAAGTTTGTCCTTTGTCATGGGCAGGAAGCTACTGAATTATTAGAGTTGTATCAGTCTAAACTGCATCTTGCAAGGCAAATGAAGAATGGAAAGGTTTGAAGGTAAGAATATGGACTAAGATGTAGCAATTGTGTACCTGTTTTCTCTTCATTTGTATTGGTACGACACATTATTAATGTTTATGTGGTTTGCTTTAATTTAGGTTGGGAATGACATATCTAGCATGCAAAGAGCTTCATATTACACTAAAATCTCTCCATTTGAATTTAGCCCCAAATTTTAAAGCTTATCTGTAACACCATGCAGAGGGTTAGCATTGTTTATGTTTCCTTAGAGAAGGCATTTTGGAGTAAGAATCATGTATAGAGACATTGTTTTACCTGTCATTGGATTATTGAACCCTTCATCAATAGGCGTTCGTGGGGCATATTTTCCATTTGACCTTCTTCATCACTAGTGCTGCGTTAAAAACATTCTTTTCCAAATCAGAATTCTGGTTTATGATTACTAAACTATGTAACGAGGTTTTAAAATCCTCTTGCTTTGTTGGTTGGTTAATGTTTTGAAACTGCTAATTCCTCCAATTATAGGTTACTGATCCACTTGATTGTGTATGTTCATTTTTTCTGTTAACTCATAAACTAACCTCATTTGACCTTGGGAGAAAGGAATGAAGTAACGAAAATAATCCAACAGTTCATCTGATAATATTTAGTTATTTTTTACCATTATTTTTGCTCCTGAAACTGCCTTTATTCATATGGGTTTTGTTTGGTTAGATGACATACCTTATTATTCTCAATATTGATGGATTTTATTTTACTCGATTCAATTTGATTTGACTAGGTTTGAATATACTACTTGATTCACCCTGTCTGCTCTGGTTGAGAATGTATTTTTTCTTAATAAACATAAAGGTAAAGTTGTGATATTCATATTATTTTGGTATAAATGGCTTTGGCCATTCATATTTCAATTTTGTAATTTTCTTTCAAATGGAATATGTTTAATTTATTAGCTAGAAAATTCAGGGCGCATCTGTTTCCGCATTGACAACTAAAATTGTACTTTTAGCGTTGATTTGAGCATTGTCTTTCACACTTATTGGTGCTTGCTAAGTTCTTGATTCAACACTTTATGATTCAACTTAATTGGATTGATATTTGTGTGTTTCCCACCCAATTTAACAAATAAGTCATAAGCATAACTTTTATATTTTATATTAATATATTTTATCCATACTGACACCAAATTATACATTTTAAGCTATTGTTGTTTATGCCTTCCTGAGCATGACAATCTGAACATCTTATAGAATTCCATTAGGCCCTTTGAAATCGAAACATTTCAATTTTTGGACAGCCTGTCTCTTTCCTAATCAGATCAGCATAGAGAACTGGATTTGGGGCATTATTTTGGGAGAAATGTACGATGTATGTTTCTTTTCTTATTATTATAACATCTCTTCTTCTTTTTGGTGTAAAAAAGGTTTAGGTGAGTTGAGTCTGAAGGCTAACTTAGGCCAGGGAAGCATCTCTTCTTCTTTCCATTTTTTTAAATTTGCTATGGCTATACCAAGAATTAAGTTCAAGACCCCAACAGAGTCACAGAGGAGCTCCATTGTTCCAGAAAGGGGGAGTACTTTCCCAATTCAAAAACATTCCGAAGACAATGAGGCTGTGGTAAACATTGTTAAGGTAAGTGCAAATTCCATCCTCCTAATCATGTAGCCGATGTTTGCATCACATAGGAATCGCTCCCATGTTACGGAGCTGATATGTTGTGCATGCCATTGTACCAAAGGGTAATTATCAGAGGGCTAGTGGAAGAAGGACATATACCTCTACAAATCATGCTTCAGAGTAATCGACATCTTGTAGAGGTTTTTGAGTTAGGATTCGAGCTGAGTTGGGTTTTGCAGAGCTTTCGGTCGAAAAAGCTTGCATAGGATGGCAAGCCGACATCTATCAAACTAGTTGCAGAGCGTGCTGTGTGTTTCAGTTTTTGCCGTCTTGGACCATTTACCATCGCATCTATTTTTTTTCCCTCTTCTATTTGGCCCTTTTACGTTGTTTTCTTCTCAAGCTATTTATCGTTGTCCTATGTCCCATACTAATAAAGGATAGAAGCCAGTTTTTGGATGTCCCGTGGGACAAAACATGGACGACTTTGGAAGGCTTGTCCTACAGTTTGACGTGACAACGAAATAAATCAATCAATTAATGCATAAAGTGAAAGCAAAGATATATATGGATGTGGAGATGAGTTGGTAGTGCTTAAACAAGAACAATTTCAAATTATAAAGGAGAAGAGCATGCATATAATCAACAAAATTCAAATAGGTAATAAATATTAGGTGCCTTATAACCTCATCAAACCTAATTTATCCATGACATTAAGTTCAAGCCATTTCAATTTTTGGTCTAAGAAGTTGGTTATGTACTTGTTATCTTTTTGCCTCATCTTTTCAAAAATGCTACTGAATTTAATAACATTATTCCACATCATGTAAGTTGAATCCCACAGACAATTCATGTTTAATAGACTCTTTGTATCAATTTTCATTCTTCTGCGGGCTCTTTCAATTTACTAGAGGGAAGTAAGGAGCTAGGAAGTAAACAATATCTTGGCATGTCTTGTGAACCATCTTGTCCTTTATCTTGTCCTAATTTACTCTCGAAGCAATCTCAACATGATTAAGCCCAATACTAATGTATCATTTTGATTTTGGAGGATCAGCGAGCTAACTGTCAGTTGTTTTCTTTTTCTTTTGGTTTTTGTCAAGCTTACTGCTTGCCTTGGTATCTCAAAACAAAAAAGAAATCATTTTATCTCTATAATGAATAATTGAATTTGTGCAAAAGAAAAAAGAAAAAAAGAGCATTAATTAAAAATATTTTAGTTAAAAAATGCATTTAATACTGGCCGCAAGGATTTCACTCTCTACCTCGCTCTTGCTTCAACCTTCGAAACGAATGAAATCCATGTCTCATTCCCTTCGCAACGCTGGAAAAGTAGTTTATTAAAAAAGTAGCTTATAGAGAAGTGAATTGGATAAAAGCTAAATTGAATAAGCTGAATTGTGTTTGGATTAGAGTTCAGAAAAACTAGATTGCAAAAGTGAGATTGGTAAAAGATTGTTTGGATTATGATTGAGTAAAAGTAAGTTTGGTTGTAAAATGATCAAAATAGATACGAGTTTTAATAAATAATGAAATATGATTAAAAAAATAATTTCACATAATACAATGAAATTAAAATAATTTAATATGAAGAAGTTATAAAAAATATTTTAAATATAAAGTGAAACATGAAAAAATAAAAGTATATTTTTAGGAGCATATTTAAAAATAAAAATATACTTCTAACTTATTCATTACTTTCAACTAATTTTAACTGATTTTTTATTATCTACAAATTAGTTATTTGAGGCTTATAATAAGAACCAAAAGAGGTAATAAATTTCTTAACTTTTTCTCTCTCTATATTTCAAAAGCTATAAGCCATAAGCTATAAGTCATAAGCTGTTAATTTTAGTTTATAGCTTATTGTAGCTTTTCAGACAAAAGCCCGATTGCAAAAAAGCTGATCCAAACAGACCTAATTGTATCAATTGAGCTTATAGAGCTTATAAGCCACTTATAAGCTCAAAATAAATGATGCCAAACAGGCACATCATATCTGTGTTCAAACCCAGTGGTTTTCATCGACGTATGCTTATTCAACGTTGTTCCACGGGTATTCATTCATCGTCTCTTATGTGTGTGTTTGAGAGAGATTTATGGGCAAGAAGGAGTTTATTTTGTAGCAAAAATCCGATTTAAAAGGTAAGTCTGTTTGGGAGAGCTTATACAAGATCACACTTGGGAGCTAAAAATGGGGCCAAACACGCAATTCACTTTAAGGGGTGTTTGGATACTTTGAAAAGTACTTTTCTGAAGTATTTTTTCGCAAATTGAGATAAACTCCTCCATGTATTTATTTCGTAAACCGTAAAATCATTTTTGAAACCATAATTTGGTTTTCATCCAAACAATCCTTTAAACTAGGAGAGGTAGCTTTTTCAAGTGGCAATCAGGCATAAGACTGTTGGAAATTATCAGAATAATAATTTTCTTTTATTTCTCCTATTATTCTCTCATTATTTAATAAAATTCATGAGCTTTTTTGGTAATTTTCAACCTAAACTTGTTTTTATTCAATTGTAATCTAAATAACTTTTTACCCAATTTAACTTTTACAAATTAATTTTTATAAAATCCAATCCAAACACAATTTACGTTATCAAATTTAACTTTTACTTAATCTAACTTTTTCAAAAGTCAAATTGTAAATAAATTTTTTTTTTTCTACTGCTAATCCAAATGGAACCAGGCCTAATTGATACATGTGGCTTCTCACCCAAAGAAGCTGCTTCAACTTCTAAGTGAGTTAGCTTTGAGACATTAGATAAACCGGATTTGGCTATCAAGTTCCTCAAAAATGATGGATTCTCGCAGTCCCATATTCTTCGTTTCTTTAGGCATTGCCCATAGTTTCTGCGATCTGATCCTCAAAAAGCCTTTCTGCCGGAGATTTGAGTTTTTCAAGTCCATTAGTGTTTCGACCTCCCGCATCCCAAGGCTCCTATGTTCATGTCCCAGCATCATGAAAGGAAGCCTAAGTAAGCAGCGCATCCCTTCCTTTAATCGCTTACGAGATATTGTTCAATCTGATGATAAGCTCATTAAAGCTCTTCAATGTTGCTCGGGCATCCTTCTTGATGCCAACACCTTTGCTGTGCCGAATATGAAGCTATTGCGAGAAGTAGGAGTTGCTGAATCAAAATGTCATCAAATTATTGTGTGTGTATCCTAGGACATGGACAAAAAGTCCTAATCCATTTAAGGACATTGCCTAAGAAGCGAAGGAATTGCATTTGATCCTTTAAAAGTCCAATTATTATGGCTGTTCATGTTTGCTCAACCTTTTAAAAAAAAAAAATTTCCACAGGGACTCTAAGGGCTGGTCCTTATAAGTAGTGGGGTTGTCCTCAGAATGACATTTTTGTGGCATTTAGAAAGAAGACATTACTCTGTTTGGTATCATGTTTGGTATCATTTATAAATATATTTTATATAAATTGAAACAAAATTTTTTTATATACTTATCTCGTATTCTGTAAATTACGATTGAAAAACTGTTTATAAAATATTCTAAATAAATACAAATAAATTATCTGAAATAGACTTTCTGAAAAGACATATCTTTTTGCATGAGCAGGTGAATTATTGGAGTTGTATTGGTCTAAACGGGGGCTTGCAAGGTAAATGAAGAACGAAAAGGTTTTGTGGTATGATTTTAGACCAAAGATGGGGCAAATTTGTATTAGAAAAAAAAAAAAAAAGATGGGCCAATTGCTGAACTATCTTCTCACTACATTATTAACCTTTATGTTGTTTGCTCTTGTTTGGCTTGGACAGGACGTATCATTCAAAAGTAACGTTGCGCTATGCGTGAAAATTGTTCTGCCTAAATGGATCTTGATAAAGTTGTATAAAAGTTTATAAATAAATGTTGTGTGTAGCTATAAAATATAGGACATTTATTGAAGGATTAGATGACAAACATGCACCTTTTTTGTGTCATGTGTAATAATAGACGCCTCTTAAAACAATGGTTTATGCTTACTTTTGATGACTTGTTTGAAAAAAATTTGTCCCTAAATATAACTCAATTGATGAGTTTTTTCAATTTTATCTATGTTGACTTTATAAATATAGAGGGAGATAAAGTAAATACTCCCTCCAATTCATAATACAAGGCGCCAGTTAACTTTTTTCACACATTAAGAAATAGAAGTTTGGTCATTACATGTATCTTCACGGGATAGGGATAAAGTTTTCATACTTTATCCATAGAAAATTATAAAATTACTTTTAATGTTACCTTTTATTATCTCTCATCCTTCTCATATATTTAATAGGGAATTAGGGATAGAAGTGAAAAAAAATTACATTAATTATTTGACTAACGTCTTATATTTTAGATTATAATTTTCTTCTAACAATATCTTATACTCCTCCGGTCCTTAATATAGACCCAATTCTTGAGTTGGTTTTGGTTCTAAATATAAGACCCATTTCTCATATTTATCAATTTTTCTAATTACCCCTATGGATATTCTCTCAACTATAACCAAGTAGAAGAGGGAGAAGAGTATTAAAAAAGATGATTATAGTGTTTTAGGAAAAATTGTGTCACTTTTCTTATAATTAACTAATTTACCTAACTTCTTTAATTTAATCAAATTAGTTAAATGGATCTTATATTAAGGACCGGAGGAGTATTATGGATAGGAAGAAGCAAGTGAGAGCAAATATAAAAACATAATTGTAATAGTCTTTGTTTAATAAGGAAAATGTGTCCGACAAAAGAAAGAGTGAATGTTAAAAAAAAATTAATTTAATGTATTCTTTTTAGTTTTGCGTGCTTCTTATACAAATAAATAGAAAGGGTGATTAATCTTTCAAATTTTAACTCAATTATAAATAATTCAGTTAATTTGGCATGACTTAATTCCCACCTCGCCCTCCCTCTCCATGTATATTCCTTTTACACCCTAATAATTCTCCGGCCTCCACCACTTTCCCCTTCCTCTGTTTCTTCGTTCTTGCTCGCTATTGTTTTGCAGAGCAATGGTAAAGCAGAGCAAGCAACTCACACCATAGTCTTAAAGGGGTAGTACAGCTCCATTGCCCATTTAGTTTCCGATGAAAATCACAGCGTTACCTTTCAGTATCTTGGCCACCATATATTCCAACGTATAAACCGGGAGGGACCGGAGTGGGTGATTAGGATCTTATTTTTAGCTCATTTGGATGCCACGTGGGCACCACCTTTTGCCATATAAGATGATTTATGTATGGAAAGGATTGATTTATTAAATGACAAAATAGATCGCTGGTCAAAAAAAAAAAAAGACAACAGATCAGGGACTGAGTTTCAATTTCAGGAACTGAATTACACCGAGTTGTTGTGGCTGAGAGACTGACCCATGATTGAGTTAAAACTTGAAGACAAAAAGATTAATTTTTCGTTCAGTGTGGTAGTTCTTGGACCCCTGCCAACGCGTTTTCTTTGCCTGAGCATTGGAATCTGATGGAATCCATGTCTCGTTTTCTGAGCAGAGCGATCGGTTTTCGGAAGCACATTATCAACGCAACCTCTCCTTCAAGATTTCAACATCTGGTTTGTGGTCAAATCCAGTGGCTTTCTGTGGGGTACGCAAATTCAACCGCCTCAAATGGCCATTCTTTCACTGTTTCATATCTGGTTGACGTATGTGGCTTCTCAGCTAAACAAGCTGCTTCCGCTTCTGAGCGTGTCAGCTTCGAAACGCGAGATAAGCCAGATTTAGTTATCAATTTCCTGCAAAAACATGGACTTTCTCAATCCCAGATTGCTCGTTTCATTAGACATGATCCATTGATTCTTCGATGTGACCCTGACAAAACCCTTCTGCCCAAGATTGAGTTTTTAAAATCCATGGGTGTTTCGAGCTCAAGCATCCCTAAGCTCTTGTGCAGTTCTCCTGCCATCATGCGGAGAAGCCTAAGCAATCAGCTCATTCCTTCCTTTGATTTCTTCCGGGGTTTGTTTCAATCTGATGAGAAGCTCACTCAAGCTCTTACATATTGCTCGGGCATCCTTCTTTATCTTAACACTCATGTCGTGCCTAATATGAAGCTATTGCGAGAAGCAGGAGTTTCTGAATCAAATGTCATGAAATTGTTGCAATTTTTCCCTAGGGCACTAACTACTAATACTGCTCGGTTTAGGGAAGTTGTGGAAGAAGTGAAGGAACTTGGGTTTAATCCTTTGAAGATTCAATTTGTTATGGCTGTTCGGGTATACTTATCCTTAAGCACATCCACACGGGCAAACAAGTTTGATGTTTATAAGAAGTGGGGTTGGTCTGACCATGACATTCTCGCGGCATTTAGGAAGTACCCCTTTTGTATGACCGTGGCAGACGATAAGATTGATGCAGTAATGGAGTTTCTTGTCCACAAATTGGGCTGTGAGCCTTCCACCATTAACAAAAATCCTTCCGTTTTGGCATTGAGTTTGAAACGGCGAATTATGCCCAGAGGTGCTGTCATTCAAGCTCTGTTGTCAAAGGGTCTGATAGAAAGAAAAGCATTGGTTGCAGCATTTATATATACTGAAGATGGCTTTTTAAGGAGATTTGTCATTCGTCATGGGCCAGAAGCTGGTGGATTATTGGAGTTGTATCAGTCTAAACTGGATCTGGCAAGGTGAATGAATACTGCTGTAAAGCTTATGGATATGGATTAAAAATACTTCTCAGAAGCACTTTTTCACAAATCGAGATAAACTCTTCTACATATTTACTTCGTATATCGTAAAAACACTTTTAAAATCATGATTTTATTTCTACCCAAACACCCCCTAAAATATAGACGTAGAACTGTCTTTCAGTTCTCACTATATTTCTTTTGATACATTTGTAATTATTTTTTAGATATGACCTATCAATCGACTAAATATAATGTGATGACTGATAAATTTCCTACATAAATCGATCTTGATTATGTTATATAGAAAATTATTTAATCAAAATAATGTAGTGTATAGCTGTAACAAAAAATTACCTATTCATTGTGGTTGAAGACTTAAGGGGTGTTTGGCAAAGCTAAAAACTAGGTTTCAGAATCACTTTTCCGCAAAACGAGATAACCTCCTTCATATATTTACTTCGTAATCCGTAAAAACACTTCTGAAACCATGGTTTGGTTTCTATCCAAACACCCCCTTTAATAACTTGGATGGACCTTAGGTTTTGTTATATGTGAACAGAGTCCCCTCCGAAATAATGGTTCAAACTTACTGTTGATGTGGTAGCTGGGGAAAAAAGGCCAGGGTTGTAACTTCAAGTTCATGGCAGGTTCAATAGAATACATAGGATTGATCTTCAATGCTGTTGCCGAGCCTGGGGATCTGAAGTTTGATTCACTCAGTTGAAGGATTTTGTTTTTAAGTTGCTGAATGAAATATGGGGATTGTCAAACGTTTGATCCAAATTGCTTGTTTCTTTTATTTTTATTTATTTTGATATATATAAAAAATCCTTTAAGAAGAAACACGTAGAAGATTTTTCTTGCCAGACATTTCAAATCTGGACCGCTCAAATTGCTCAATGGAATTATAGATGAGATCCCTCTGTTAAGAACATCCAATATCCTATCTTAGGTTGCAGTTTGGAAATTTAAATTATTGCAGCTGATTTCTAGCTGACTTTGTACAGTGATATAAGATGCAAGAAGGTAGATATGGTGTATTTCCTAACTCTGCGTAATTATGATGCCAGAAGATTTGAACTTCTGTTCCCATCTCTTGGTTGTTGACAGTTTCTGTAACCAATTATTTTCTTATGTTGTTTTAGATTTGAGTGGTGAATTCTGATAGATCGTCACTAAGATTTTCTTGTTCATTTGTGCAAAGTCCATGTGCTTTGTGTCAAGTTATTTTCCCCCATGTTAAGAGAGGTAACTGGAGATATTTGTTCTCAGTATGAATAGCTCCTATGCATACACATGTTCATATAATACTAATGACTCTGTGTGTGTGTGGGGGTGTGTGTCTGTATTTTTTGAGTCTCTTCTCTTTATTCTGGTGAAAAACTGGAATTTTCCACACCATCTTTACAGTTTTAACAGTAATGTTTCCACTAAATTGATTGTGTATAGCACTCCAAATTGTAAACCATGAAACTCTATGAATGTTTTCTATTTCAAGCTATATTAATTCATCTAGTGATATATATCCATTGTCATATCTATTGTTATAACCTATCCAGTTCACTAGTTGTCATTGAATTTCATAAAATCGAAATGTGTCGGTAATGATCAATGGGCCTATCTTCTTTAGGTATACACAAAATAGGCCTACTTTGTTGGCATTTAGAACGGACAAAATCAAAAGACCAGGAGTGAAACCTAACCTGATTTGTGTTTGCTGTGCATCCTTATTGAGCAGCACAAATGGTGATGTGCTTGTTTGGATTAGTTTTGGGGAAATGATTTTGTACTGAACGAGATGAAGTTTTGTCTCATATAGCCCAGAATTCCTTTTTTAAACACTGATCCAAGCAGCTTTGATGTTTTTGTTTCTCATGCTGAAATTTCAGACTGAGGAATATGAAGTTCATTTTTATCGTATAATATGTGATCTGGTTAACCGAAAATGAGGTTATCTTTAGTGGTGAAAAGCCAGAGTCTGATTAGCTTGGTCGTTATGCTTATGATATAGACATTGGAATGAAGATACATTGGAATGAAGATCATGTTGGAACCTCCAGCTGAATATAGAAATATTTATGTGGTAAGATTTGTCTGGTAGAGTGGTATAATATTGGGCCTATGAAATGCTACGAATCATCTCATTAATTGTTGGATTGGATTCTAACAGAAGTTGGATCTAGTAGAAAGGGCTAGTTCCTCATAATATGACAAACTAAAGTTCAAATCCCCGTTAGGAGATATGCTAACATTTAGTGTCCGATAATGCTTCGAATATGATTGCCTCCAATAGAAGGATACTTATATTTTAGTAGGAAAAAAATGTTGGATTGGATCTGGACTGTGCAATACTTTCTCTGATTCTCTTTGTAAGCTATAATTTTTTGAATGAGTATGTTTTTTTTTTATAAGCTACATTTCGAAGTCTAAATATTTAATGTTTTTTTAAGGTATAAGGGAGCGGGCTCGAACCCCACACACACACCACTCGACCAAGCGGCCAGTGCTAATGTATTTTTTTATTTCAGTTAATTGCATGTGTGTAACATACGATTTTTTTTCAAAAAAAAAAAAATTGTAATTAAATCTATATAATAATATATTATTATTAAAAAAAATAAAAAAAAATAAAAGTCATCTTTTCCACCGAATTCGGTGGAAAAGATGGGGGAGGGGGAGTGGTTGCATTAATGAGGAAAGAATTTTGGAAGAAGATTCAACGAAGAACAAAGAAAAACATGGGGTAAGGTTGAAAAACAATGGAAGGGTATTAAATGAAGAAGGAAAAGGGAGGAAGAAGCGGATGGAAGTGGAAAAATGAGAAGGGAGCGATGGAGGGATATAAATGAGGGGGGTGTTAAACGTTCTACTAGTTATATTTTCAAGCCAGAAGAAAAGAGATAGAGAGAGAGAGAGAGAGCGAACGACAAGAGAAAGAGAGAGAGAAGAGAAGAGAAGAAGAGAGCGAGAAGTTGAGCTGAAATACGTGATCTGACAGTCGGGACAAGTTTTGGGGATCATTTAGGTACACAAATATACTTCTCTTTATCAAATTTCCTTTATGAATATTTCCTATATATTTATAGCTTTATATTATTATTATCATTATAATGTTTAGAGAAAATTTTACCGTTTGAGTATAGAGTAAATATAGAGTTTTGACAATATATGACCGTAGAAATTTAAAGATACATTATTAAGGAATTTTAATCGGTTTATTTTTGTTGAATGATTATTTTGAGAATTTTAAACTAAGATTTTAGTTGAAAAGTTTGTTATTTAGACTTGTAATATGTTTTTACCGATTAAATTTGAGTTAAATAATTTATTTGAGTTATTTAATATATTATGGAGGTTTTAATCGGTTTAAATATTGAATAAGTTAAATATATATTTTTGAAATAATTTTTGAAGGCTTGAAAAATTATAAATTGAGAATTTTGTAAAATTAAATAAAGCTACAGTTTGTTTATAATTAAATATATATATATATATATACTTTTGTTAAATTTAAATAGCCTTATATGTAAATTATTTTTCAAAATAAATCTATTATAAATGCCTAGATTTGGGAGAGTTAATATATTTATGTAATTTTGGTTTAGAGGGTAGTCTTAGAATTTTAGAGTAGCTTTGGAGTAGTTTCGAGTTTATGTTAATAAATATTTATGTGCAATTTTGTAGACTTGAGAATTTTGGAGTAATCTTTGTGTGAATTTGTAAGCTAAAGAGTACCAGGTAACTCTGAAAATTCTTTCTTGTACATGTGAATTGTGTATGATTATATTATGAATTTACTATATTTTTATATATTGAAATACAATATTGTGATTTTTCAAATGAATGTTTTGGTATGTTATTTGATTTTGTTAAGATTTATTGCTATTAATTATGATGAATAATTAAATATATTGATGGCTATGGAATTGTCATGAGTTGTTATTAAATGGTATATAAGTTTATTGCTATCTTATTTTTAATATATTTGAGGACGTATTTATGATGTAATATTATTGGCATCTGACATGCATTGTTGGGCTAAGGATAGAAGGAGATTGCATGGATATAAAATTACCACGTGGTATGCCATCACTCGGTGCACAGTGGATGGCACTTGTCAGGGCCCCTTCTTCCATGTTTTCCTTTGGCCGGGAATTCATTGGAGCTGTGGGACATGTGACACCTCCCTATTCACAAAGGAGGGGAGCCATAGTCCGAGCTTGAGCTCTATATCTTTGGCCGGATATATCTCTTGTATCGGTGAGCTTGGAATAATTCAGTAAAATGGATTAGTTCCTATCGGACTATGTGTTAGCCTATGGCTCCAGTCAGCGGTATAAGGGTGGACGGTGATATAAGGGAGGCATCATATTGCATTATTTTTGGATATATTAGAAAAATGATATTGGTATATTGTTGGGAAAAAAATGAAATTGAATTGAATGTCTCAAATCCGTGATTTTTAATATATTTATATACACACATATAAACAGATTTTTGGTTTATCATATATGATTTGCTTGTATAGGTTAGAATTTCAGTAGTTACTGAGACGTTTGATCTCATCCCCTATATTAACAATTTTTCAGGCGAAGGATCTAGTAGGAATCAAGGGAAGGCACCAATGGAGTGAGCCGTGAAGGCTTTTGTGCTCCTCAAGCACATGCTATGTTATATTTTTATTTGCCATGACTATAAGACTTTAATAGTTTATGTTGTTAAGTTATGTTAGAAATGTTTTGAAATTTTAACTTAATTGCAGTATTAAAAATATGTATGGACTTTTAAATTAAATATTTTATTGCGTATATTGATATAATTATGTGAGGTGTTACATTTTTGGTATCAGAGCTGTAACGTTCCATGGCTTTTTAATTAACTTTTATGTAAAATAATTTCCCAAAAGGTTTGGAAAAAAAAAATGGCTAGAGGTCATGGCAATTTAAATATAATAACATGTGCACTTCCCTTTAGTTTTTAGATTAAAAGTTTATTTTGTAA